AATTTTTATCATTTGAAACATCAAAATTATTATGGTGTATTTCTAAAGCAAATGCTCCTTTTCATGTACCAGAAATTACAAAATAAGACACTCAAGTCTTCAGTGCTTTTTCCAACATACACCACATAAGGAAAATAAAACAATACAATCAATATAGCAGAGCTGTTTTAACAAGAAAAAAAAAACAAATTAAAAAATCAGATCATGGTGTTTTGATTTCTCTTAATTGTTTGTTCCTTCCCAATACAATTTACAATTGAAGCCAAAGTTCTCCAACAAATGTAGATGTTTTTAGACAAAAAGGAATCAGAAAATAAGTTTGCTGTGCATTGGTTTTGTGTGTCCATTTGCCTTTGGGGAAGTACAGCCCCTTGTTTATGGGGCTTTTTTTCTGTGTCTTTGTGACAGCTAAACACAAGCCCTTTCTCCAAACAAATGGCAGTTAGGTATGAAGAGACGTCGGCCTGGGCCCAACCCGTAGAGATGGCTTCTCTTTGACAGCTGCTTTCATCTCGTTATTATTCCTCCTTCACACTCAAGGATTTTTGGGCTTCCCAAAGTATTTCTTTTGCCGTCTCCTTCCTCTCCCTCCCTCTTTCCTTCCACTGGCACTGAGCTGTGATTGGCTGTTATGACAGACTTGTCGCCTGGCTGTCAGCTTCCTCTGAAGCTCACTTTAATTACTCCTTTTCACTAACATGACATGTTCATGCACAGATGCATGCAAACTTGTGCACACATTGGAAAGTCACTCACAAACAGGCCCGCTGATACACAAACTGGCGCGTTGAGCTGCACACTGTGCTGTGCTGGCAGTAATAATGGAATAAGAATGGTGATTGAACTCTCTGCCAGCCAAGCTACCTCACACAGCAGACCTCCAGATGTTTGTCAATGTTGACTCTGTTTCTTTAGTCAAGCTTTGAAAATGTCATTTGAAATTGTGAAGGCCCAGACACTGCTGGGCTTGATGAGCTCAGATCAATGTGACACCCTGCTGTGCCGAGCGTTGAATAGCCAATTAAAGCCATTGAAAAGGAGGAGAGGATAAAGGAGTGAGGGTTTGATTAGAGGAAGATGATGAAAGAAGAGGGGTAAAGATCCAGCAGTGATTGCTCTAGCCTGTAAATGTTTAATATTCTGCATCATAAAAGTGACAGTGATGACCCATTCTGCTTTCCTTTCTTCTCCTTCCTGTTTCCAGAGGGACACATTCAGCTTTGCTTGCTTTAACAAAAGGCAGCAGTGCACTGGGTTGAGACCTTCACTGATTGAGGAAATCTAAGACAGATGTACAGATTTACTAGGAATAGCAAGGAAAACAAGAAGAAAGCCTTGTCACATGTAAATTTTAAACCATCTGAGAGGGGTTTTGTATGGTCTGCAGTTTCTTCCTCCGCTTTGCGTCTTTCTGTCTTCATCTCTGTTTCTCTTCCTTTCCTACATTCCTCTTCATTCCCTGATTTCATACATTTTTTTCTCCCATGTACACTTTCTTCATTATACTTATTTATTTATTATCTTAATGTATTTATTTCAGTTTCCACATATTTGCCTGGCCACTTCTTAACTTAT